AATGCAGATTAATACTCTCGTAATAACATAATACAGCTTCACAATTCAACAATTCAGTAAGAAAATCAAATCGTTAGAACACAAAACAAGGTAATTTTTCTCCATCATTAACAAGAAAATTATGCATATCTCGGAAATGGACTATCTCAAAACACATTACCCAGATCAGGGATGACAAACCTTGATTTTAAATCTGGTTTTGGGCACATCGGTGCACTCGGGCCGAACCTCATAGTACGAATCAGCAGGCTCTCCAGCGTTTCCCCACATTTAGAAAAGAACCAGAAAAACACTTTGCGAGAAAAACAAATTCAGACTCAAAAACCAAAACAACCCGGGAAAGCTACCTCCTCCGGCAGATCAATGAAAGCTGCGTTTTCAAGATACCTTTGTGGACGAAGAGGGGGAGGGACCCGGCTAAAGAGAAGAAGAAGAAGTCGACGACGACCAAGGACCAGTTCAACGCCAAAAGTAAATATTTTTTTTTCTTTCTTTTTTTTTTAATATAATTTCTGGGTTGTTCTTTTTTCTTTTTGGGTGTTTTTTTTAATGGTAAGAATTAACTGTCAAGGAAGGTGGTGGCCATGGAGATGGTGCTGATGGTGATGGTGATGGTGGTGGTGGGGATAAATATTTACTCTGTAAATTACACCACCAACAAATCCTTTGCCCGTTTAATGCGTTAATTTAACGTCTCTTGTTTTCTCGCTATCTCTAACACTTTCTGTCTTTTTTTCTTTTAAAGCTTTAATTTTTATTTTCTTAAATCTATTTTTAATCTTTTTTTTTTTTTTAAAGCAGGGTAATTTTTTTATTGGCTTGTTTTTACTTTTCCTAATTAGTAAATTACCATATAATTTTGATTGCTTCATTGGTTTTAATATCTCTTTAGATTTTTAATTCCATTTTTATTCTTTAATTAGTATATTTGATAAATTATATTTAAAAATTAAAAATATTGTACATCAAATTATTTATTATATTCATAATAAATATTAAATTAATATTTTATATTTAAATTGTATCATCAATTCATTTGAGTAATAATTTTTTTTTTGCATTTTATTTTTTGAGAAATTTAATAATTTTTCTCTCATTAAATTTTCAATAAATCTATATATAACTTTAAAATGTAAGTACAAATAATTTTTTTTTTTTGGGTTGAATGAAAAATTATTTCATCCAATAATGATATTTTGGGAAAGCCAAATTATAAATAGAACTTTAAAAATAATAATAATAATTGAATTAAATAATTGAGTCAACACACGTTTTAATTTTGTTTTAGAAGAATACACTATTTATATTTTATAGAATATTCATTCCTAATTGTCCTTTTTTGTTATTTTAATTTTTAAATAACTTTAGAAAATAATAATAAAAATTGGATTAAACCATGGAGTCAACACACGGTTTGACTTAGTTTTAAAAGAATACAATATTTATATTTTATAAAATATTTATTCCTAATTGTCCTTTTTTTGTTTTAAGTTGTTAGTTTAATTTTCAAATTACTCAATATTATAACTAATTGCTAAACGTTCTTGTTATAATTCGATATTTTCACTAAAATAATTTATTAATGATTGTGTGATGTTTTGCGTCTAAGTACAATGGGTTGGAATTGATTTTTATGTTCGAATTCTTGGTACTTTACATATCAAGTTCAAGTTACAATAATTCACAACTTAAGTTCAAGTTTATATAGATATATATATATATATATTGCGTTTCTATTACTAAAATTTTAATATTATTATTAATATAAAATATCATATCACCAATTATAATTCAAAATTTATGAAATTTTAGAACTCTATGAATATTAAGTTATCGGAATGACATGCATTGTATTACTGTTTGTAAAATTATATAAGACTCAAACACCATTAGTTTATGAACTCTTAAATAAAAACTATTAGTATTAGTTTAAATATACATGTTTCGTGATTATTTAGATATCTCAAAAAAAAAAAAAACTCAATAGATAGAGTTATTATTTCTGTAAATACTTAAATTCGGTTATAACCAAATGAGATCATGTAGCAAAGATGAAACATTCCAAGGTTAGAATTGAAAATCTCAAATTCAGAAAGTTCTAATTCCTGAAGACTTCTTTGGTCATATATATAGCTTACATATTGCCAACAATTTGAATTGATATTTCAAAGTACTAGTGATTTAGCTTCTAAAATTATTGGAATTCCGGTACTTCGATCAAGAGATTTAATATGTTATATCAGGGTGAGTTGATCTTGCTGCAAATGTTTGCAGTTATCAGAAACTTAAGTTAATTAATTAAACTTCACTTGCTAATTCAGTAAATTAATCTTTCAGATTGCATTGAGCTTGCCATTAAACTAGAAAAATGAAACAGAAGAGACCCAGTTCATAATTTGCTCTCAAACAAATTTGCATGGCATTTTGGCATCTGTAGTTTTTTGTTTAACCCAATTCACAAGACATGAATATGCTTCATAATGGTCAAGCAAAGTATAAACCCACAGTTAAGTTAAAGAAGCTAATAAAGAGAGTTGTAATAAATTATAAAAGCCTAATTCTCTGCATATATGCTTTGCACTATAAGGTAAGAAATCCAGATAAAAGAGAATATGGAAAAGTGAGGAAAAGCTTCTCTGCCACATCTTGTAAAGCTAAACCCTAATTTGGCCTACAAAACCCCCCTTAGTCCTCCACCATTCTTCCTCAAACTCCAAATAATCTCAGATTTCCCTTTCTTTTGTCCCCATTATAAATTTCAGGTACCCATTTGGTCATTATTTCCAATGGCCAGATCAAACATTCAACTCAACAAAGCATTTAATGGATTATTTGGACTGGTCTTTTGTATGATATTCTTGATGAACAAGGCTTGTGCAAGAGAATTTCAAGTTGGAGGACCAAAGGGATGGAGTGTTCCACCTAATAACACACTCAGCTATAATCAATGGGCAGAAAGAAACCGATTCCACATCGGAGACTCTCTCCGTAAGTTTTTCTTCCACTGTTTCTTAATTCTTCTCTCTCTGTTAACTACAACACAAGTTCTTATAAACTTATTTAATACCATATTTATAGTTTTAAATTTTGATATAGTGGAGATCTGCAATACCTGTATAAAAAATTGTAACTACTAAAATTTTGGACAGATTTTTATTTTGTGCATCAGACAAAATATAGTATAAATATTTTAATGTATCATTGTAAGCGATATATACAAAGATTTCTCTCAAAATCCTCACCAAAATGTCAAGATCTGCGTTTTCCCGGCGCTTAGAACTGCCGAGAAAGACTTACTGATGGTTTTCTGATTCAAAAACGGTGCATCATGTGTGTGTGTATAAATATATGTATATGGGTCCTTAAGAACCAATTCCTAGAAATCACATAAGTCTTTTTCCCATTGATTCGAACTAGATTTTGAATTCAAGTTAAAACTGCGTGCATACAGTATTCGTCTACCCAGAAGGCCAAGACTCAGTTCTCGTCGTGACAAACGACGCCTACAACAACTGCGACACAGACGCTTTACCCATTGACAAGTTCACCGACGGCCACACGTCCTTCATCTTCAACCGTTCTGGTTCTTTCTACTTCATCAGCGGAAACAAAGACAACTGCCTCAACAACGAAAAGCTTCATGTTGTCGTCATGGGGGACAGGAGAAATTCCACAAACCAGACAGCTCCAGCACTTTCCCCTCCACCTTCAGAGTCCATGCCTGTGGCTCCATCTCCTGCACCTGCTGGTGAAGGGGCGCCGACGCCGCCCACGGGGACTGTGGAAGCGATAAACCCAGCTCCTGCTCCGGCCGACGAGGCTCATCCACCAAATGGTGCTTCTTCTTCAATGAGCATGTTCTTGAGTGGTTTGGTGGGAGCTTTTGTTGCTGCCTCGTCTCTGCTTCTAGTGGTTTAAACAATTTTCTTCTAAATATTTTTATAACTAATATGGGTTTTGCGTATTTATTCTTTTAATCTTTTGATTTGTTCATGGGACTTTTCGTTCTGGGAGATCTGATAATTGTTTGTTTGTTTGTCTGTTGAAGAGGAATAAGTGACACTTGTATGTACAGTCATTGTATGCTTGTCCCTAACACACATATATATATATATATATGTATGTATGTATATGAGAATATTGATAAAAGGAATAAAATTCTCACTACTGTGGATTAACTATCGAACCAAAACACACGTATATATACATACATACATACATACATACATATATATATATATATACATATGTACTTATACGATGATATTGATACTTCAGGACTCTGTGTATTATCTGTCAACAGTGTTCTCTTGTTGTGGCTAATATTATGTGCTGTGTGATGAAGTTGCATGTTTTGGTGTGTTTTAATGCAAATTTCTTATTAAGAAAAAAAGTTGGGCGACTATATTTGCAACACATCCAGAAATACTAATGTAGAAGTTAAAGACCATATATCCACAAATATCAATATGAAGTGAAAGAGTCTGGTTTCGATTTGATCTAATATTTGGAACACATCTACACTCCGTATGTGTTTTTTTAATAATGTTTTCACATTATGATATTCATGCGAGGTACTGTTTTTACTAAAGATTGTGTAAATTGCATTAAGTAAAAAAGTTTTCATGTGAAAGTCTATATAGGATTAAAAATATAAGACTATTTTATTTTTTAACTGGAAATGTAAATTCGTAAATCAAATGGAGTTGTAAGATTTACGACATAATTTATTAATTAAAAATATTAGAAAATATATTTCTTTAAAACAAATTGAACAAATATGGTATGATATTTCTCATATGAACACAATGTGTCTTTCAAATTATTAAAAAAAAAAAAAAAGCAATTATGTATATCATCTTCCAAATAATAACTTTTTAAGTAAATATATAAAATCAAAATATGCAAACAATTGATCAGATATAACGTTGAATACAATCTGCATTTAGTAAATTGAATATATAAAAACATATGTTAACCTCCTCAAATATTCGGTATCCCTTAAGCTGGGCATTTTCTGATAAACACATCAAAACTCATACTCCTCTTTAATTTTTTCCACTGCTTAAAAAAAGTATGGGA